TCGAGGCTAGTGAAATGAGGCTAGTGAGGCGCTGGCCTGCTGTGCTGTGCCTTCCTTCCCTCTTCCCCCCTCCTGCCTTGCCAAGCTGCCTACAGTAGGTAGGTACCTAGGTGCCTTCTTCCTGCCGCCTACATCGCACTACGACGGCGGCTCCTTGGCCACCAACCCCTCGGCCACCAACCCCTCGTCCATCAACCCCTTGGCCACCAACTATCCTCTCTGAAGGTAGCTGCTGATCACATCCTGGTGACCACCCATCATCCATCAAGACGCTTTGCACAGCAACCCCGAAAACAAAGTTCATCACGCAGGCATCTCCCTCCTAACATGAGCACCTCTCAAATGACCTGACAGATGCCTCACTGACCATCACACCATTTCCGTTATCCATGGAGGCAAACAATTGCAGGGGTTGTCCCGGACCAGACTACTCCCTCCTGGGCTGCCAATTTTGGAGAACGACTCAATCACCAGCAGTGGGTTGGTTTTGGACCACCACACCTACCTGACAGCCGTCCAGCGCATCGACCGTTCCCTTGTCCGTGCAAGCTCTTTGGACAATGTCATCCTGCATCTGCCGCCGCCAAATCGTCGTCTCCATCCGCGACTCTTCTAAGTCAAGATCGCATCCGCGTCGTCTCCGATGCCTACAGGGAGGGATTGACTGCTCCAACGCAATCCTCTGACAGGAGGAACAACCGATACCATCAGTCCAAGTGTCAGAAGCAACGTCGGTCAATTCATCTCTTTCCCGTGTCCAGGTTCGCACCTATAGCGCCATCCTTGGAGCTATGCTCGTAGGCCAATACAGACCGCTGCTTCACCATCGGGCGTCACTGCCCTTCCCCGGCATTGCACCCTGGTAAAATAGGTAAAGTACCTTATCTTGCCTAGGTGGACAACGATTAGACCTGCGATAAACTACGCTGCTAGCGAGAACTCCAAACTAGTTGCCAGGTCCTGGACCTCTGTTCTGTGGTTCCCGCAAAGCACAAAGCGAGCAGTCCACCCGTCCCCAAGTCTCCATCTGTCTCTCCTGGTTCTCCCAAAGTCCCTGCGACGGTGGCCGAGTTCCTTCAAGTGTTGAGAACCAGAACACCACTGCTGTACTAATCATGTGCGAGTGCTTCGAAGTGAAGTCGAGCATGACTAGTAGCTTGTATGCCGCCTACAGCCTCTCGTGCCGTCCAAGGCCTTACCGTGCAGGCTACGTGCCTCGGCCTCTGCTTCTAAGCCCGGCTACATAGGACTAAGCACTTGATCCATATTAATGGCGAAAAGGTGCAGCCATCTTTGGCCCGCGGCCTGTTCTCGCCCCCTCGCCCCCTCGCCCCCTTGGACCATCACTTCGGATGACGGGCGGAAGATATGACGGCACATCATCCACCGCGCCGGAACGAAACTTGACGGGCACGACACGAGATACTCCCAGGAAGATCCCCAGGCGATGCAAACGAATACAACAGCGCCCCGGTAAACAGCCTGCTTTCAAGCTCAGCACGGGCTCCATCATGGCCTGGCCTCGAC